ACGTTGTAGATTGTTGCAATCTTCTAATGTGAGCACATGCCGATATATTTTCAAATCATCAGCATATAACAGATACCGGACATTCAATTTCTTTGTCAAGTCATCTATATACATATATTGCAAAAAAAAGTGGACCCAACACCGAGCCTTGTGGGACTCCTGATGTCTGTTTAAAGAAGGACGACTTATAACCCCGATATTGCACAAACTGATGTCTATCCCACAGGTAGGACTTAACTAAAGTTAGAAGATCTAATGAGAATCCAAAAGACTCCATTTTGTAAATCAAAATCTGATGATCCACTCGATCAAAAGCCTTTGACATGTCCATATAGACAACATCTACCTGAATTTGATGGTCAATATTTTCACACAAAAATTGAGTAACAGAAGCAAGGTTTGTAACAGTCGACCGTTTTTCAGTAAAACCGTGCTGATACGGAGAAATCTGGTTCATGACATGTTTATAAGTTCTGTCATACAGGATGAATTCAAACACTTTGCTAAAGTTATTAATGATAGAGATCGGCCGGTAATTTTTGATTTCAGACTGATCGCCATTTTTGAATATGGGACTTATTTTCGTAACTCTCCACTGCATAGGAAAAACACATGTTTTTAGTATAAGATTAAAAATTATTTTAAGCGCAGTTACAAACGAGGCTTTGCAGTCATGAATTAAGAAGGCTGGAATTAAATCAGGACCCGTAGTTTGTTTAGGCTTCAGTTTACTTAAGGCTTTGCAGATTTCAGCATCTGTCACCATATAATTTGCAAAAAGAGTATTGGTATTGATCTGTACATTACTTGGAGGTGAAGACGTGGATGACACTGCAAATGAACTACTGAAATACTGAGCAAATGCATTTACTACTTCTTGAGGTTTTGAAATGATGTTTTCATTATAGTTCATGAGATTTGGGATGGATGCAGTATTTTTTAAGTTGCGCACATACGACCAAAAACTTTTGGGGTTAGACTTGATGTCGCTGCTGATTTTAATGATATAATTATCATAAGCTACTTTAATTTCATGCTTAACCTGAGTTCTAAGAGCCTTAAGTTGCTCATAATCTTCAACCCGACCGTATTTTTTCGATCTTTTCCATATTTTATGCTTGCATTTAATAAGATGTATAATTCGTGATGTATACCAAACAGGATAGTTTCCTTTAGAACGAGATTTCAGTGGAACATGCCTATCAAGAATGCCATAGAGCTTGTTATAAAAAGAGTCAACAGCCCCATTTACATCGGAGTTGGTACTGAGAAACGACCATTCTACAGAATACAGTTCGGTATATAGAGCCATATAATTCGCTTTTTTAAAGTTGTACTCCCGAAGATGGGATATAGAAAAGTTATTATTGTTCGACACCCTATCAAGTACTGTTGATATTTCCAGTGCCGGATGGTGAGTGTCTTCATGCAATATTACTTCAGATGCTTTTATTACTTGACATTTTACATTGCTGAGCAGTAGGTCAAGAATTCTATCATTCATATTCAATACTGTATTATATTGTGTAAGATTAAAGAAGTTTGATAAAGAAATGTAACTACTATACATTGAAGAATTAACAAACTGATGTAAGTTTTGTTGAGACCAATTCACATATTCTGGAATATTAAAGTCTCCCAGTATCATTACAGATGAGCCATATAGTTCTTGAACAGACACTAAAAAGTCAAAAAACGCATCGTAATCACCGGTATTAGTAGATGGTGGAATATACACTAAACAGATAAGAAAATGCCTATATCGAACAGAAATTTTTACTAACAGTATATCAATATGTGTAATGTTTTCATCCCTATGGTACATATCACAAATGTTTAACTTAACAGCATCAAAATTTTTTCTAATTGCAAGTAATACCCCTCCGCCTCTCTTAGTTAAACGGGAAGAATGGTTACGGTCGGATCTGAAAACATTATAGCTATCGCCATTAAATATTTCTCCATCTGCTACGCTCTCATTTAGCCATGTCTCCGTAAATGTAATGATATCATAACAAAATGTATGAGAGTATAATAAGATATTGCTCAACTTAGTATTTATGCCTCTCACATTTTGATAATAACACATTAAATTGAGATCAGAATTATTTTTATGAGATTGACTAATTGATGAGTTTAAGGTCTCACTAGAAGCAGACTTAGAGACAGTGGTAAAAGTTAGTTGCTACGACTCTGATAAACCGAAAACATCAGTTTTTAGTTTTTTAATTAAGTTTTTGTAGAATATACAATGCTCATAGTCCCAGCAGGCATGGGAAATTTCTGCAATACCCAGATTATCTCTTGCTTGAATGGTAGAGCAGTTAATGCATTGTAGTTGTTCTTCTGTAGCTTTGCAATCTTTTAATTCATGCACAGCAGAGCATCTCGGACAGGAGACATTTTTCTTGCAGTTCCTAACAGAATGATTGAAGCCGATACACCTATAGCACCGGATGACATCCACAGCGTCATAAATGTTACAGCCATCCAAACCAATTAAACAATGACCAAAATTTAACGCATATTTGTAGGATGAAATGTCAACTTGCAAAATTACCTGAAAGGTTTTCTGGCGATTTTTTATCGGTGCATATTTCAGAAGAGTGCACTGAGTAGTTTCAGAAAAGATATGTTTATTCTGTTTTAACAAAAAAGGAACAATCATCTCTTCACATATATCATCAGAGATGCCCGAAATACGAATACGAGGTAAAGGCGTCTTAACATCATGAATGTCATATTTTTCATCAAGTTTTTTATTTTGTACAAGCTTTTTTAGTTCATCAGGATTTCGACAATTTAAGAGCACTCCACCGTTTCTAATAGACTTCACTCTTGCAATCCCAAGTTCATCAGTGTTTTCCGGATTAAAAGTTGTAATAAGGTCGGATTTCGTTTGTGTGGTTGTTTGAGCAGGATTTTTTGGTTTCACTACCAGAGCAGAAGTACTTTTAAGTGTAGCAGCATATGATACCGCAGGTTCTTTAGGAATTTGAGCATCACGATTGGGATATTGTTGGATTACTGTCCTAATTTCTTCACGTAATAAGTAATTTTCGTGCTTTAAATCAGCAACTTGCTGGTTAAGTTTATTAAAACTCTCGGAAACTACGCGGGAAAATTCTGTAAATACTTCTTTTAAAAAGTCTGGAAGTTTTTGTAATGCCTCACTATCAATCAGTGATGGGCATGAAACATCACCCGGATTTTTAAGAGAAAAGGGGCTACAGAAACCACAACCCCATGTTTGTAACAAGCCTGTTTCTTTCAAAGATGTTACCGCTAATTTATTTAAGTTAACGCATGCTAGGTGATAATTTGCCCCACATTCTTTGCGACAATTAATGTAGTCATCTGCCCTGCCTCGGAATGGGACTATTTGGCGCGGCCGACTTGGCGCGAGCCATTTTGGCGCAAGGCCAACTTGGCGCAGGGACACTTTGGCGCAAGCCATCTTGGCGCGAGTACGTCGGTATATAATATAAAAAATATTTATTTTTTGTACCGTGGTTTGCACTCTGTTATTTATGCTAAGTGTAGGCAACCAAATACACAGTTTCATTCGCACAAATTCCAATAACTAAATGATCCACGGAGCAAGAAGTTCCACGTTTAGGAGTATGTTTATAATGGGGTGCAGGGCGCGAAGCGCCCGTGTGTCCATTAAAAAGTCGACATTACCCCACCACGCGTTGGAGACTATAAAAATTAAGTTATGCTAACAACGGGTACAATTTTTGTATAATTATATCTATTTTTCTTGGTGCGAGTTCATTCGCGCCAAGATGGTCCGCGCCAAGATAGCTTGCGCCAAAGTGTCCCTGCGCCAAGTTGGCTTTGCGCCAAAATGTCTCGCGCCAAGTCGGCCGCGCCAAGTTGGCCGCGCCAAGTCGGCCGCGCCGAATTGTCCTAGACCGGCCCTGCCTATAGTCTTATTGCATTTTCTGCATTTAATTGCCATATTTAAGAGCAAAAGAAATCCCCCTGACGGGGGAAGTCAGTAAACGATATCGGATGACACTAATAAGAACTTGAATAAGAAAAACTTAAAATAAATTAACCTTACACACTCCAGTTGTTAGAATAGAGAGCAAAAAAGACACTCATCTACCAATCTTATCAGTTGAATAGAAAGTATCCAAAGGAGGAAAACTAGTAAAAATTTGCAACCCTGTGCAAATTAACCACCCAATTCACCACCTAAGCACAAGCGCACACTATACCGTTCACCGTTCACCGGTATGAAATATTATGAAATTAGGAAACTTAAAAAAATAATTCTCTATTATTTTAGCAGGAGCAAACTTATTTGGTGTCAAAAATAGTCCAAGCTAAGTTGTTTCTAAAACATCTTTTTCAGACTGTTGCAAAAACCAGTTTGAATCATATTAACAAAAATACGAAAAAAAAAATTACGATTAGCCCGGTTCTACGGTAATTTTTGAGTCAAGTGAGAGCACCTGAGAGAGTGATTTCAAAAGGAAAACATTTTTATGTACCACAGTCTGAAATTAAATTGTTTACAAAGTAAGACCGGGATCTAAATATACTTCAGAGAATTTGACATTATCAGAATTTTGTTTTAAATTCAAATCTCAAATTGTGAAAACCAAGTTTTAAGGAAATTTCGACAAGTGTAGCTTAAGACAGTTATATCGTGGTGTCAGAGCTTATAGAGGTGGTATCATCGACAAACAATATAAGTTACGAATTTAAATGGCCAAAATATATATCATTTATAAGTAATGTATATAAATAATACAATAAAATTTATATAGTACTAAAACATATGTACATTAAAATCACTATAGTACAGTTGCTACTTATTTTTGTTTGACGACTAGAGAATTTGTTGCTAAAATCATTGATAATTTAATTTAAAAAAAAAAATCGATAATAGGAAACACCAAAAAAAAACAGTAAATGCGATTGGTCTAATTAAAGTACCTACTGATATACTTGAATAAACATTTAAACAACACATTTTTTGTTTTCAGTGTATTATAGTCAAAGGGCGGCGACCTTGGAGTTGAGAACTGTGCGGACCACAACATATATGCACATGACCAGTGCGGCACGGTGTCGATCAATTCGTTGGCCGACTACACTGCATTGGGATCGCAGTCTTATCGCTTGTTTTTCAGGTGCAATACGCACCTGTACATAGGCGTCGAGTACTCCTTGCACATCAAACGCTTAGAAGTGGCGCAGTCGGAGCAGTATTCATTTGTAAAATAGCAAATTATTAACAAAAATGTGCTTAACATTTTAGTTTCTTTTTATTTATATATATCTGTGTGGAGGTTTTTCATTTTTACGAATCTTATTTTGATTTTTTTATTTCATTTTTAATAGAAGCAGCATTTTATATTATTTTTTTATAATATTTAACATTGCACAAAATTGTCAAGATTCATCGAAAACTATAGGTTATTTGCACTCTGAAACTTTAAAGTTGCATGGTGCTTTATCAAAATTTCAAAATATTGTGACCCAATTTAAAAGGCTTCCCGGTGAATTTGGGAAGAAGTTAAAAATGAAAGTAGAATCTGTTTTTAGTAGCACTCCCGGTTTAAACACTGCATCAAGTTTGCGACGGCATGACAGAGCCAAACATTACAACAAAATACATAATAAAATTTCCTCTCATTTTTTAATTACAGTCCCACAACCAGTTGTGACGTGGATCGTTCATGTCCTAAATTGAAAAACTTATTAACCCCCAAAAGAACACGTTTTACAGAGGAAAATCTCGAGCGAGCTCCTAGACCTTGAGCGCGCTGCGAAAACTGTGTGTACGGCTATGAATTAAAACGGCTTCGCCGTTCTCTGATTATAGTAGTAAGTCATGTAGAGGCCGGATTGATTATAAAATATTGTACATCAAATTGGGTTTGAAAAGTTTCTGACAGGTAGCACAACGAGGCGGCAAAATGAAAAAGTAAAACCGATTTGATGTATTTACAGTCTTTTATAATCACTTTGTACACAAAGAAATCAATACCTTTCGGGTAAGACGACAACTCAAAATCCATGTGAAAGGACTGAGGAAACAAAACCTTAATCTTGCATTTGTGAAAGTAAATTTTTAGTTTGACACTACCAACGATTCATCACACCAGTACCGATAACTGTGATACGCAGAAGATTAAAAGGTCAAAAATAAGTTCGTTCTGTAAGTGTAATAAATAAAACATAAAAGCCGTAATATGTTTTTTTTTATTACATTATTATTGTTGTTCATTTGATTTAATAGATCAGACAAGAACAAAATTAAAAGAAGGCACAACATAGAAAGTTTGATAACTAAATAAATAAAATATATAAGACCCTTTTAATCGTAACGATCGTAAGATAAACGAGAACACCATTACGTGTTTTGAAGCTTGTAAATGGAGTCACAATAAAAAAAAAATAATAAGAAAACCCAGGACAGAACAACGTCCTCCCTTTAAAAGCAATAATTTCACGAACTACTTGTTATAAAAAAAAACTTTAAATTACTTCATTGATTTCTTTCTGTTTTATTCTAATTTTGTAGGATAATTAAACTTAACTCACAGCTTGCGTTTTAATTCAGAAAAATAACTGGACAGATTTATAATAATTATTTTACATGATTAAATTGCGATATTTATGAATTCGGTTTACAAAAAAATATATATTATTTAGCTGTACCTACAAATTATTCAACAGAAATTCTTGACCTTGTTTGCTCGACTATTTGGTCAATACAATACCATGAAAAGGTAGACCACGTCATTAATGATTATTTCTTCAGAGTTTCCTGACATTTATAGTTAACATGAATAAACTCATCAACGTAATTATGTGTTAAATAAGCATTATACCGGGTGTTAGGGAATGCTTGCAACAAAATTTGAAGGTAGGCTCCTGAAAAAGAGAACAACAAAAAATGCTAGTAACACTTTTTTTAAAGGTTAATAGTTTTTTCTAAAAATCAGTCCCCACATTTTGAGAACTGCCGACGTTGTCTTTTTTTTCTAAGGTAGTTGTGAAAATTCTGGAACTAATGATTATTTCCTTAGAAACGGTTAAATAATTTGTCAAAAATTGACAAAAATGTCACATTTACATCAATACAATAAACACCTTTGAGTTTTAAAATGTTTGATTCGGACGTTTAACGACATAGACGCGGTTCCGACACGCTAATAAGGGTACCAACGCGGTTGTTAACGGAAATTTCAGAAAACACCACAAACGGCCTCTGAAAACCTGCATTGATACCAGAAAGAGGGGGTTTTGCGTTTTTCCCCTGAAAAAAATCCCGAAGGAAAACACTAGAAAGATTAGGGAAATCTATCTTTCAGCATTGTGAATGAACCTTTAGGCCCGGTTTTACAAATGTCCGGTTCAACACGAGTTCAACTGAACTTGAGTTCAACTGAACTGAGGTTCAATTCATCCGTCCGTTTTACAAACACCGCTATCGTCCGGTTCAGCTGAACCACAAATTTCCTTAGGTTGGTAGCGCGCACCCGAGAATCTGACAGTTGAGACCACGTTGGGAGCACGTTGGAAGTGTGTTGTTGTTGTCATCTATGTCATCATGTCACATTATTATAAATTATTTGTGACAAATTCTGCAAAGTAATTAGTTTTTTGCGTTACTGGGGTACGTATATGTGTATATGTAACATTTGCTCGTTAATAGTAGATGATTATGATGGTTTTTAACATTTCGTTTCAGATGAGTAATACACGTGCTCCGAATTTTACAAAATCCGAAGAAAACTTGCTCCTATCTTTAGTAAGCAAGTATAGAAATATTCTGGAGTGTAAATTGTCCAACACTGATGCAAATCAAAAAAAAAAAAAAATCAGTGTTGGAAGAAAATTGAAGTAGAGTTCAAACAACAAAGTATTGAGGCCACCGATGTTGATGTGGCTGTAAAAGAAATTCTCGGGGCCAAACCAATGGGGCATAGCAGCGAATTTGATGGCGATTCCGAAACAACCTGTAATAAGTATTTTTATGAATAATATGTATTGTAAAATTAAAATGTTGATGCTTTTCAGCATTCCAAAGTAACAGCGGTATAATCTGTCTGATGACGAAAATGATGGTAAATACTTTTTATCCTTACATACACTTTATTCAGAAATTTTTTACTATTTTTTCTTTATTTCAGATTGTTTTATGCCAAAAGATCAAACCGGAGCAATTTCGAGAGAAGTGCCTGTTATGGATAAAATAAGTGGTCCCAATAAAGAAAGTGGTAAACATTAATAATAATCAAATATGGTTATTTTTGTAGAAAATGGTCAAACTGGGAATTGGGCTAAATACTCCCCCAAAATCTTGAAGCAAAAAAAATTTTCAGCACTCACGCCATATCGCAGAGGTATTATATGTATATATATTTATATTAAAAAATGTTTGACACTTGTCTTAAAACTTTATTAATGTATTGTTTGTATAGGTAAAGGAAACCAGACAAGTGATAATTTAGAGCAATGTGCCGCTGCCAAAGAACTTGTCGAACTAAGTCGAAAGGAATACATCCAAAAGGAGCAAGAGTTTAAATTAAAAGCCATGAAAGAGAAACATGAACTAGAAATGCAAATTATGAGAGACAAAGCTGCACTTGAATTAGAAGTAATAAAGCAGAACACCAAATGAAGATTGAAATATTAATTGCCCAAAAATTTAATATTTTAAATAATAAAACTTAAATAAATAATTACATTACATTTTATTATTTACTGCAACTAAAAACGAAATCAAAAAAAGCAAATGAGTAAAATATTCTCTGATGAACTGGTTCCGTACAAAATTGTTCTGATTATAATTGCCACTATATTCTCCAATGTTTTCAATTAGAACATCGTTCACAAAATTCACCGCTGCTTCTTCTTCTGCGTCCACTGGCGGTTCTTCTTCATTTAAAATAATTGCAATGTTGTCTAACACTCCTGTTGCCACAACCACTGCCTCTAATTTACACATTTTTAAACGAATTCCAAAAGCCAATGCTGGAAAGCGTCTTTTCCACACCCCAAAACATTAATTATTTGAGAAGCTGTTGCTTTACTAATCCCTATAAAGTCACCAGCAACTTGCAGAAAAGATCCAGTGGCAAGGAAACGTGAAGTCACAAGTAGCATTTGCTCCAGTGATACTGCATGATTTCTTTCTGTTCGCGATGTAATTTGCTCCTGTATTTGTTGCAAAATAAACCGTACGCCAGTCTTGGAAAAACGAAATCGTTTCAAAAATTCCCCAGCATTTCACTTTTCAAAGTGATTTTCTCTCAACTGAAAAACTTTTGGTCGTCGCATACGTGCCGGTTCTAATATGTTTATCATTTCTAAAACGTCTTCATCGTCAGTTAATACTCCTAATAAATTTTCCATCTTCAATTATAATGCTGTCACACCACCAAAACGATAAAGCACAGACATTTGAGGTTATGGACAGTTGAGCGAAGCTTAAACCACCCTGACATCAGCGCTCAGCTGAGCCTTCGTTTGAGCGCGGTTTAACATTGAACCATGTATTGTAAAACGGACAACTGCAGTTGAACCAAGGCTTATCTTTGAACCTCGCTTAAGCTTGCATTGTAAAACCGGGCCTTAGTGAGAGTGAGAAGTGTATTGTGAGTGCTGCCGGTTTTCGCTAAAATTTGTATAATTTTTTCGGTTTTATTTAACCACCGATGTTTTATAACCAAAACAATTTTGTCTGAATAGGCCTAGCAGTTTTAGAAGCCGCTAGTTTCGTTGTTTTGCCCTAATTTTTGGCTTTTTCTTAGGCAATTTAGTGATTGTTTACATCTGTAGTTTCCATTGTGCGCCGTAGGAGCGGCGCGCTCATCGCGCATCAGCTGGTGCTGGTTAAGCTAGTGATGCCCATTCTGGATTCGATTCTTCGATATTCGATTATATTTTTAACAAAATGATCGATTATGAATCGATTATTTGATCTGCACGATTCTCTGGGGATCGATTTTTTTTGAGTGAAAATCGATGCTTTTTTAAATTGTGGAATGAAATCATTTTTTTACTCAAACCACAGCTCAAACAATCATCTTAGTAACTTTTGCAATTTTAGAATTAACGGTTGATATCTACTGCGATTACGAACATTTTTCTGAACTTGAACGTTAACGTTAAAACGTTTGATTTGATCGAATTACCACCCCTAATTTCGATGTACATAAAGGTGAGAATGGCAAAATGTGCCAATGTACGCGCCAAATAGTTTCTAGGATTTTCTACTTATATTTATTTCTAGTGGGAGTTCGTTGTCTTTGTTTGATGTATTTGTAGTGCAAAGCACATCTTTGTTTAAGTCGTGGTGTGAATAGGACAAAAAAGTAAAAACCGAAGAATTGCGATGTACATGTACATGTAGTCAATAGTCATCTGCATTCTGCATGTAGGGCGGTAGGGTAATCCGGTGATTATACATCATAGTTTAGAAGTGATTTAGAATACTGGTTCTACGTTAATGTAAATATGTGGTGAATATTGTGCTTTGGATTTGGAAAACAAGATTAACACTATTGACCATTAACAGTAGGTTTGTAATTTGGTTATAAAAGTTGTTCGGCATTTTGTTTACTTTTAGATTAGAAATGTCAGAGTCGCACATTGACGTAAAATGCTATTTCACGAAATTTACTGCAATTTCATCAAGGTGCAAAATATGTAGCAATGTTTACAAGCATCATAACAATACTACAAATTTACGAAACCACCTGAAACGTAAACATTCAGAATTTTTAAATATGGGATTGGCACAAAACAAGAGTCAAAAACGTCTAAAAGTGATAAATAACAAAGGTTCAAAAGAGGATCAAGATCAGACCCAGACTACTACATCGTCACTACAGAATGATGTTTCTACATCATCACTACACAATGATGTCGAAAAGAGCGGTAAGTAAGTAATGCAGAGAAATACCTAATTACATATTCCATTAAACTTTTAGAGACAAATTTATCAGAAGCAACAACAGTAACTCTCTGTGATCTTACTGATCTTAGTGAAATAGATGCATTGCCCAGTTTCGAAAAATCTACCCTTAAGTTCAAACAAAATGACATAGTATCAGCTTTCGATGAAATAAATTCATTTTCAGGTAAGTTCCAATTACTGAAAAATATTTTTTTGTATGAAATGCTTTTTGCTAGGTGGAAGAATGAATGCTAAAATAACCAATGCTTTGATTTATATGATCACAGTTGATCACCTTCCCTTATCTTTCACAGAACGTAAAGGATTTCAATATTTCAAAAAGGTCGCTTTACCACTATATAAGGCTCCAGGGCGTTCTACAATTACAAGACAAGTTGATGAACAATATACAGTTTTAAGTTCCAAAATTAAAGACAAATTCAAGTTGGTGGATAATTTTTGTCTAACAACTGACGCATGGACTGATAGTTTGAATAATCGAAGTTTTTTGGGACTAACTGTTCATTATCTTCAAGAAACAGAACTAAAATCAATTACAATAGGAGTATTTTTATTAGAAAACAAGCATACATACGATTATATTGGAACTACTTTACTACATTGTTGTCACGAATGGAATATTTCTAAAGATAAAATAACAGCAGTTATTACAGACAATGCAGGAAATATGGTGAAAGCTGTGCATGAATTTTTTGGTAGTAAGAAACATTTACCATGTTTTGCGCATACTACCAATTTAATTGTTACCAACAGTTTGAAAGATGTCAATAATATTATTTCTTCAGTGAAGGCTATTGTTACGTTTTTTAAAACAAGTCATGATGCGGCCCAAAAACTTCGAACATATCAAATACAGAATGGGAAAACAGAAGGTTCTTGTCTGAAACTTATTCAAGATATAAGTACTAGGTGGAATTCGACATACTACATGTTGAAACGATTTTTGGAGCTTGCACCATTGATTAGCATTATCCTTTTTGACAATCAAAATATTAAAATGATTGATCAAGAAAACATTGCAATTTTGAAAGAGTTGATATTGGTTTTAGCTCCCTTTGAAGCCATGACTGTCGAAATGTCAGGACAAAATTATGTCACTTCAAGTAAGGTTATACCAATAGTACACTGTCTAAAGCTTACTTTAGATAAAGTAGAAGTTAGCACTAACGTTGTCAAACAAATTTTGAATAAGTTAAAAGAGGAGGTAGCGAGAAGGTTTTATTCGGATAATTCCAGCGTGGAAAAAAATAATTTGCTGTCAGTTTCTACTATACTCGACCCAAGATTTAAACGCATACACTTTGAAAATCCATTAGCAGATACAGCAGCAGTTGCAAGAATAAAAGTTTTAATTGATGAACACAAAAAAAATGACTCAGTGTCAGTGTCACCACGAAATTATGACAAAAACCAAGAAAAACCTACTGACATGACCAGTACTGGATTAAATTTATGGGCGGTTCATGACAAATTATCCATTAAACAAAATGAAGGAGTTTGTAACAATTCAGGTATACCTTCTGAATTAAAAAACTATTTAAACCAAACCTTAAGTTCAAGAACAGAAGATCCTATCAAGTTTTGGACTTCGGTCAAACATGTATATCCATATTTATCAAAAATTGCTTTGAAACACTTAAGTATTTTAGCCACATCAGTGCCGTCTGAAAGACTTTTCAGCAAAGCGGGTATTAATTTAAGTGAACTGAGAAATAGACTTGCAAGTAAAAGACTCTCCGCTCTTCTTTTTTTAGGATCTCTAGAGGAAGACGAGTGGCATTTAAATAATTGAAACGTGCAAGCTCTAAGTTGAAAATCATTTGTTACTTAATTCTATACAAAATTATTATAGAATATAAAATTTATTTTTTTCACTAGCAGCCTGGACGCATGCAAATGTCGACTCATTTAGTGGTAGCAAATTCAACTTTTGCTACCACGGGTTCAAAAAGAAAAATTGAGGTTATGTACGCAATGTTTGATGTGATTATTTCTTAAAAAATGAACAAATGTGTGCTACAAACATTACTTGAGTATACGCATGGTAGTTGGTAGACGGTAGAAGATAAAATGATTAACTCAGCGACAAGTATAAACGATTTTCTTTGTGTTGAAGATTTAGATCAAGTTTGATTAGAAATCAAAACAAAATCACGTTGCGTCAAAAAATTGAACGTTTATTTTTCAGTTTATTGTCTTATGGTTTCTACTAGTGAAAAAAATAGTATATTAACCACGGTTGCAAAGCCACTTCTAGACCTCGCGCTTCAGAGCCCTCGACGCTGCGCGTCTCGGGTTCTAATTTGCACTCGGTCTAGAATGCTTGGCTCTGCAACCTTGGCTAATAATATACTATTTGTTATGTTTAAGAATATAAAATTTATTTTTGTTCATGTTTAAGAATATAAAATTTATTTTTGTTATGTTTAGTATAGGAAATTTACTTTTTATTTTTTGCTAAATAAACATTATAAAAGCAACTAATCAAGTGGTATTTTTTTAAAAGAAACTTCATATTAAAATATGAAGTTCGTTAAACACGTCAATATTATAAAACAAATTTTAAAAAATCGATTTTTACGAATCGATCTTTTTTTCTCAGAAAAATCGATTGTTAAGAATCGCCCGAAACAAAAAAAATTTATTCTTAGAATCGATCTTCTGCTGGCATTGTGGGCATCACTAGGTTAAGCTGGTTTGTTTACATTTTGTTTGTATCAGAAAATCACTGCTTATTACATATTGGTGCGTTGTTATTTTTTGTCATGTC